TAGAGATAGTTTCACTTTCTCTTTGCTCCTAATTTTTATGCCTTTGCTTCATCTAATTGTATTGGTCAAATAGCTCTTGTATAAATAGTAGTGGGCCAGGTCCGGTGGCTCACACCTGTAATCCCAGTACTCTGAGATTTATTTTTTATGTTTTGTAGAGATGAGGGCTCACTATGTTGTCCAGACTGGTCTTGAACTTTGAGGCTCAAGTGATTCTCCTGCCTCAACCTCCCAAAGTGCCAGGATTATAAGCATGAACTATGGAACCTAGCCCACTTTTTTTTTTTTTCCTGAGACAGAGTCTTGCTCTGTCACCCAGGCTAGAGTGCAGTGGCACAATCTTGGCTCACTGCAAACTCCACCTCTTGGGTTCAAGCAATTCTGCCTCAGCCTCCCAGGTACCTGGGATTGCAGGCCCCCACCATCGCACCCAGCTAATTTTTATATTTTTAGTAGAGACAGGGTTTCACCTTGTTGGCCAGGCTGATCTCAAACTCCTGACCTCATGATCTGTCCACCTTGGCCTTCCAAAGTGCTGGGATTATAGGCGTGAGCCACCACGCCTAGCCCTTTTTTTTTTTTTGACTAAACCTTTTATTATTTGATCCATCAATTTTTTAATGGTATTAACTATCTAACACTCAATCCAACACTCAGTGATCTTATTCTACTTTCCCTTCTCTTTCCTCTCTCTTCTCCTTTCAATATTTTTGTTGTTTTGCCCGTTTCTCTTTTTATTTTGGAAACTTGCAAATATGTGTACACAAGTATAGAAAGTAATATAATAAAGCCAATGTTCCTATCACCTGCTTTCAACAGCTCTCAACATTTGGTTCATTTTCTTTCATTTACAATCCCCCAATCTACATATCCCTAGATTATTCTGAAGCACATTTTAAACCTCATAACATTTTATCTGTAACTATTTCAGAGTATGTATAAAAGATAAAGACTCTTAAAATTATTGCCACAATACCATCATCCCAGTTAAAATAAATGAATAACAATTCCTTTTTCTCTCTCTCTTTTTTTTCTTTTTTAAGACAGAGTCTCACTCTGTTGCCCAGGCTGGGGTGCAATGGCACGATCTCGGCTCACTGAACCTCCATCTCCTAGGTGTGAGTGATTTTCATGCCTCAGCTTTCTGAGTAGCTGGGACTATAGGCCTGTGCTGCCACGGCTGGCTCATTTGTGTATTTTTAGTAGAGATGGGGTTTCACCATGTTGGCCAGGAGTCTTGAACTCCTGACCTCATGGGATCTGCCTGTCTTGGCCTCCTGAAGTGCTGGGATTATAGGTGTGAGCCACTGTGCCTGGCCAAGAATACCTTAATATAAAATATCCAGTCAGTGTTCATACATCTCCAGCTGTTTCATAATTTTTTTACATGTTGTTCGTCTGAAATAGGATGTAAATAAGCTCTACTTATTGGTATTGGTCAACATATCTCTTAAGCCTCTTTTAATTTAAAGGTTCCTGCTACTGATGACTAGGGATTCTGGGCACTTTTTTTCTTGCATATTGGCCATTCATGTCTCTTATGAAGTGTCTGTTCAAGACTTTTGCCCCATTATTTTTAATTGGGTTTTTGTCTCCTTATTGCTGAGATGTAGAATTTCTTTACATGTTCTGAATACGAGTCCTTTTTCACATACATTTGTCTTGGATAGACTCATTCTATATGTGTAACAGACAACTTGACATTCATTCTCTTCATGGCATCTTTTGATGAGCAGAAGGTTTTAATTTGGATAAAATCCAATGTATCAATTTTTATATGGTTCATGCTATGTGTGTCCTCCCTTGGTATATTCAGTAATATAGAGGTATCATACTTATTTTTTTTATTTTTTGAGAAGAAGTCTCACTCTGTTGCCCAGGCTGGAGTGCAGTGGCATGACCTTAGCTCACTGCAACCTCCACCTCCTGAGTTCAAGCAATTCTCCTGCTTCAGCCTCCCCTGTAGCTGGGATTACAGACATGGGTCACTGAGCCTAGCTAATTTTTTTATTTTTAGTAGAGACAGGGTTTCACCATGTTGGCCAGGCTGGTCTCAAACTCCTGGCCTCCAGTGATCCACCTGCCCTGTCCTCCCAAAATGCTGGGATTACAGGCATGAGCCACTACCCCCAGTTGTATTATACTTAATATTAATATTTAAAGTATATTTGATTATACTTATACTCTGTATGTTACACTTAATTATACTATAATTATTTATTAAGTTTATTAATGTTTTAAATTCTAACAATTTAAAATAATATTTTTAATTGTTTGGAGGTGAGGTATGAACACCTACCCATGGTTAGAGGCTAACCCAGTTACAGCGTATTTTTTAAAGGTGTTTTGTTTTGTCCTTGCTCTTATTTTAAAAATAACTGCTCCTCTTAAAAAACTAAATCAGAATTCAGCGGAAAGTAAAAGTCCTTCATCATTGAGATTTGTTGGGGGATGAGATGGGGAGTTAGGTGTGACGTGAAACTTAAGTCCACTACATCCTAAAGAATGATTTTACATTTTTAAACAAACCAGAACAATCATCCACATCCAAGCCTCCGAATCCCCTACAACAGAGTAGCAGAATCAAAATGTCTCACTTTGGTGCCACGCTTTTTTTATAAATGGAATTTAATTTTTTAATTTGAAACAATGACAAAGGCTACAGAGAAGGTGGAAACACAGTACAAAAAATTGTTTTCTAAACCATTTGAGGGTTGCTAACCTGAGGCATCCTACCCAAACTCATATTTATTTCCTAGAAGCAAGGCCGTTCTCCTCCATAACCATGATACTGCCATGCAAACCATCACCACCGTCAAATCCTCACGCCTCACTCAAGTTCCTTGATCACTTCAATAATGTCCTCCACAGCGAAAGGATCCAGTTCAAAATCGGGAGTTACATTTCAGTGCCGTGCCTAAAACATAAGAATTGCTCATTCAGTTTGGACCAGTTCTTCAGTCTGTCCTTGATTTTCAGAAGCTTGACACTTTTGAACATTATAGACCGGTTATTCTATAAAATATCTTTGCATCTGGGTTTGTCTGATACCTCCTTATTATTAGATTGAAATGCTACATTTTTGGTGGAAATATCACAGAATTGACATTGCATTCTTCTCATTACGTCAGGTGGCTCGTGATTCTATTTTATCCCATTACCAATGGCATTCATTTTGAGCATTTGATTAAGTTGTTATCGTAATCAAAGATATTCTCTTGGCCAGGCACAGTGACTCACGCCTGTAATCGCAGTACTTTGGGAGGCCAAGGCGGGTGGATCATGAGGTCAGGAGTTCAAGACCAGCTGGCCAACAAGGTGAAACCTCGTCTCTACTAAAAATGCAAAAAATATTTAGCTGGGTGTGGTGACGGGCGCCTGTAATTCCAGCTACTCAGGAAGCTGAGGCAGAGAATTGCTTAAACCCAGGAGACAGAGGTTGCAGTGAGCTAAGATTGCACCACTGCACTCTAGCCTGGGCAACAGAGTGAGACTCTATCTCAAAAAAAAGAAAGATATTATAGCAAAAAGTTTCTATTTTTCTTTTTATAATTACCATGTTGTAGGGAGGTATTTTGAAACTATGTAAATGTCTGATTGCCCATCAAACATTTCATTTGTTCATTGATTTATTTATGTCTGTATGGATTCATGGTTTCCTATTTTACTCAATGAGTTATAATCTGTCACTATCATTATTTAAAATTTTTTTTTCTTTTTTCATTGGCAGGAAACAATGACTGTCATTATTAATTTTAGCACTCAGATTGTCCCTGATGTGACTAGTGGCAGCGCCTTCAAGTTGGCTTCTGTGACCTTTTGACATGTCCCCATTATTTTTGAGTACTTCCTGGCTTTATGGCACAAGATGTGCTAGTCTTTTCTTATACTTTCCCTGCTCCGGCCCCATGATTAGCCATTTTTCCAAGAAGCCCTGGTTTCTTTTAGTGCAATATGGCATTTAGAAGCCAAGATCTGGGTGTCAGGCGTGCTCCTATACATTAGGGCGGGCACTGCACCTACGCTCCCTTTATGAACAGAGCTAGGAAATGTAAGAAGCATATCCAGCACCTACTGAATCAGTCTGCAGTGTTAACAAGATCCCTAGGGGATTCACCGGCACATTAAAGCTTTGGAAGCACTGCTCACCTACAGAGCAGACTCTACTGTCCAAGCTGGCTCTCTGTCAGCCATCATGTTGCATTTCAGGCATCAGGAAGGAGGAGGGGACAAAAGAATTCACCTCCTGTTGAGTCCGGTCCCTTTAATCCCTGAAGTCTCTCCAAACACTTCTGCTAATGTCTCAGTGTTTACAACTTAGTCACATGCCTGCACGTAAGGGAGGCAGGGAAATCTAGTCTTTTAGTTGGGCCCATTGCCCAGCTAAGTAAAATTAATGTTCTGTTTCTTTCTTTCTTTTCTTTTCTGTTTTTTTTTGGAGATAGAGTTTTGCTCTTTTTGCCCAGGCTAGAGTGCATTGGCACTATCTCGGCTCACTGCAACTTCCGCCTCCTGGATTCAAGCGATTCTCCTGTCTCAGCTTCCCAAGTAGCTGGGATTACAAGGTATTTGCCACCACACCCAGCTAATTTTGTATTTTTAGTAGAGATGGGGTTTCACCATGTTGGTCAGGCTGGTCTCGAACTCCTGACTTCAGGTGATCCACCCTCCTTGGCCTCCCAAAGTGCTGGGATTACAGGTGTGAGCCACCGCTTTCTGCCTTAATGTTCTTTTTCTAAGGAAAAAAAGAGATGCTAGCTATTGGGTAAGTAATAAGTCTCTGCCCCTCTGGTCTTACTTGGTCGCAGCCTGTATGTACTCTCAGAGTAACTGGGAAATTGTTGGTAGCAGCAGCTGACACTAGGCGCAACAACCAGTCACTCTTATGTGGACATCAGGAAAGCCACTATAGTCAGCACATAGTTGAAAGAAAAATGTAAAACCCCCACCTCAACCCCCTTTTTTTCTCTTGCTCTCTCTCATTCTTTCTTTCTTTTTTTAAAATATATGGAATGCTTTGGAATTTGTGTTTCATTGTTGCACAGAAGCCATGCTAATTTTTGTAACATTCCAATTATAGTACATATGCTGCCAAAGCGAGCATTCTTTCTCTTTCTCTTTCTTTCTCTCTCTCTTTCTTTCTCTCTCTCTCTCTTTCTTTCTCTCTCTCTCTCTTTCTTTCTCTCTCTTTCTTTCTTTCTTTCCTTTTTGCTTTCTTTACTTTTCTTGAGACAGAGTCTTGCTGTGTCACCCGGGCTGGAGTGCGGTGGTGTGATCTTGGCTCACTGCAACTTCTACCTCCTGGATTCAAGCAATTCTCGTGCCTCAAGAAGCTGGAACTCACGCATCCCAAGAAGTTGAGACTACAGGCACCCACCACCATGCCCAGCGAATTTTTGTATTTTTAGTAGAGACAGGGTTTCACCATGTTGGCCAGGCTTGTCTCTAACTCCTGACCTCATGTGATCACCCTGCCTCAGCCTCCCAAAGTGCTGGGATTACAGGCGTGAGCCACTGCATCCGTCCTCTTTCTTTCTCTCTTTTCTTCTTTCTATGAGTGCAGCGGTGCAACCATGGCTTACTGCACATTTAGACTCCTAGGCTCAACAGAGCCTCCCACCTCAGTCTCCCAAGTAGCTGAGACTATAGTTACACGCCACCACATCTGGCTCCTTTTTTTTATTTTTTAAAGATGGCATCTTGCTGTGTTGCCCAGACTAGTCTTGAACTTCTGGTCTCAAGTAATCCTCCCACCTCAGCCTCCAAAAATGCTGCAATTACAGATGTGAGCCACTGCACCCAGCCCCAAACCCCAGCTTTCACATAGACCCTGTTACCATCGTGCAAACTATTCCTATCTTCTGCCTGGCCCCAAACTGGACCCAGGGCCAAAATTCAAGGAGCAATAAGATAGAAAAGAATGTTTGGAAGGCACTGTTTTGCACAGAAGCTCAGCCAGCAGACTCTGGAAACAGACTGCCCAGGTTCAAATCCCAGTGCCACCACTTACCAGCTGTGGGGCTTTCAGTAAGTTATAGCTCTTTGCTAGGGCTCAGTGTACCTGTGTTAAAATGTGGATGAGGATGGGTGCAGTGGCTCATGCCTGTAATTCCAGTGCTTTGGGAGACCAAGAGAGGGTGATCGCTTGAGCTCAGGAGCTTGAGGCCAGCCTGGGCAACATAAGGAGATCCCATCTCTAAAGCTACCTCACAGGTTGTTGTGAAGATTTGATGGAAATAATTATTATGCAAAGCTCTTGGATCACCTGGCCCACAGCGAGCTCCCATGCACATTAGTTCTCATTACTAAGCAGAGATACCATAGCAAAGACAGCACTGCCCTGGAGGCGGCTGCCAACGCTGAGGGTGGGCTCAGGCCCAGAGACCTGTTCCACAGGAAGTACAGAAACCACCAACTTGGAAATGCCATCCGTTTACTTAGTACTAAAGTATTAAGTAAAAACCCCAGTATTTCCACCAGTTTGGAGAGGATTGCAGCCAGCTTCATTTACCATTCTACCTCTGTGACAGATACCCAGGACTTTCCTGATTTGTTATTGTGTAGACAGTGTATTTTCTTTCCCTGAGTTTGCTTTTTTTTAAATTCGTGACTGCTCAAACTATTTCCAGCAGATTTTTTTTTCTTTTTATGAGACAGAATCTCGCTCTGTCACCCAGGCTGGAGTGCAGTGGCGTGATCTCAGCTCACTGCAACCTCTGCCTCCCAAGTTCAAGTGATTCTCCTGTCTCAGCCTCCCAAGTAGCTGAGATTACAGGCATCGGCCACCACGCCCGGCTAATTTTTGTATCTTTAGTAGAGAAGGGGTTTCATCATGTTGGCCAGGCTGGTCTTAAACGCCTGACCTCATGATCCCCCCACCTCGGCCTCCCAAAGTGCTACAATTACAGGCATGAGCCATTGCACACGGCCCTTAAACAGTATTTCGGGAAAAAAAACAAACAAGCAAGGATAGAAGCCTGCCTGCCAGATAGAGCATTTGACTTTGTACACATCCTCTCCATGACAAAGCCTGCAGCTCCCCTGCCCCTTTCCAAGAACTCAGCAAACCCTCACAAGTCTGTGTCTGTCACTGGATACGTGAAAAGTGGCACTATCGGCCGGGCGCGGTGGCTCAAGCCTGTAATCCCAGCACTTTGGGAGGCTGAGGCGGGTGGATCACTAGGTCAAGAGATCAAGACCATCCTGGTCAACATGGTGAAACCCTGTCTCTACTAAAACTACAAAAAATTAGCTGGGCATGGTGGCACATGCCTGTAATCCCAGCTACTCAGGAGGCTGAGGCAGGAGAATTGCCTGAACCCAGGAGGCGGAGGTTGCGGTGAGCCGAGATCGTGCCATTGCACTCCAGCCTGGGTAACATGAGTGAAACTCCGTCTCAAAAAAAAAAAAAAAGAAAAGTGGCACTATCATTTTCTTAGACAAACATCCTGGGCAATTTGGCTTCTTTTGCTTTGTCATTAATACAGCCGGTTTGGCTGACTACCTTTGGGCACCTTGAAAGACCAGTTCTTATTATTCTAACTTCCTCCCTGGCTTATCATTTTGGTTTTTAATTCAAAGATATTTGCCAGTGGCCTCTTGGTACCACTGACAGAAATTCCTAAGATAAACAAAGACCATGTTTTCTTCTTAGATCATCGTCTCCATGTCATGATGGGGAAAGATTTTGAAAATGCCAAAGAGTGCCTAAGTGTGTGTCTTTGTGGGTCTTTATGCAAAACTAGTTCCTGTGCAGTATGACTGTAGCTCCTCCTGCCACTTCCAAGGCTGGCTGAAACCACTGGAACTAATCCCTCTGCCCTTTTAACCTCCGATTCAAGCTGGGGCCAAGATGCCACCTGGTCGGCCACCTCAGGGGCCAGGGAAGTGGCTAAGAAGAGTAACAGTGCCCCTACCGGTGAGTGCTTACGACAGTGAGCTTGACAGCAGGAAGCCTCCCCCGGGGGCTCCTGAAGCAGCCGGACTGTGACGCTCAGAGTCTTGCCCTATGGCATAGGCAAACTGATCTTTAATGGCAAATATCGATGTAGCACATACTGCTAGTATCCCAGGGCGGCCAGAGACTGGCCACTCTGTGTTATCCCTGCAGTGGCGGTGGCAGCTACAGCTGGGGTCTCTTCAGCTGGGTTTCCCATTCCTCTTTTCCTGGTAACAGTACCACTTCTCTTCCGGAAATCTCTCCTGAACTGTAGGCGAATCCAATGAGTTTGATGAGCTGCAGTGCCTGATCCTGTCAGGGGCGAGAATGGGACCCAGCCAGGCCAAACTTAGTCCTGCATCCCTTTGGACATGGCTGAGTAAGCTAGAAAGCCGGAGGTTATCCCGGACAGCAACCTCTCCCTTACCTGCCCCATCCAAGCTCCCCCATCTGCCAATTTTGCCTCCTGAATCTCTTTCCCGTCCATCTCCTCAATCACTCAAGTCCCAGCTGTTATCATTTAACTCCTGAACAACTGGGTGTCCTCCTAACTGATGTTCGCACGTTTACTCTGGGCCACTTCCATGCAGCTGGAGTCATTCTTTCAAAGGACAAATAGGATTGTGTCACCTTACACCCCCAAGTTTGCTCTTGGCTTCCTACGGCCTTAGGATAAAGACAAAATTCCTTAATGTGGCCCACCAGCCCCATGGACTGTCCCCCTGCCTCTCCTGTCCCACCTTGTCCTGCTCGCTGCTGTTTAGCTACTAGCCATGCTTGCAGCCCCAGTTTCTGGTGTTAACATGCTGCTTTGTGCATAGCGGTTCTTCCATCCCATGCTGTTTCCCTAACCCTCCACCCAGGTAACTCATCCTTTTTGTCTGAGTGCAAAGACCATTTTCTTCGGGAAGCTTTCCCTACCTTCCAAGGTCAAATGCTCCATGTACACTCTCAAAGTACCATCTCTCTCCTTTGCAAAGCACATGCCACAGTGCACTTTCACACTGGCTGGCTACTTGAGTTATGTTTTTCTCCCCAGTGATTATGAACTCCAGGAGGCTAGGCCCAGTACCATTTTTGCTCATATTTGTTGAATGATTGGCAGTGAATGAATTGGTCCAAGAGATAGGCATCCAACATTAGGCCAACTGGAGACTTTCCCCCAAATTTCCCAAATCAAAGTGGGAGGACAGTCGCTCTCTTTTCCTCTGGGATCATAAGATACAAGGATGCAGGTTCTGGGTTGCAGATGACTCTCTTTCCTGCCTCATGTGCTCAGCTGTCTGCAAAATAGAACCTGGCAAGTGGAGAGGAGAGAAGGCCCTGCCGGGTAGGGGCCCTCATTCCATCCCCAGGTCCCTGGGCTCAGGAGCTCCTCCTTCAGTTCTCCAAGCCTCCCAAGTCATTCCCAGTTGTGAAAGCCAGTAGCTCTCCAGTTTATGTAAGTTGTTTGAGTTGGGATTTTGTCACTCACAAAAGAAAGATCTCTGGCTAAGGCAAGTCAACCCAGTGGCCTGGAGAGAAGTTAGGTTAGGACATTAGGAAAAAATTGGCTAAAAGATAAGTTAAAAATTGTATATGATGTAGCTAACTTGGCCTACTGCAATTAGACTGCACAGATGCCCATTGCTATCTGCCATAGGAAAGGTGTTCCCAGCCTGCTGGCAAGCATTTGTGGCATGGCTGAAATATTTCATTTGAATGCTGAGTACATGAGTGGCAACAAACAAGGAGCCACGTGTCTAAGCAGCCATCCAGTGATGCAACACACACGCATTGTGCACCTATGAGCAACACAGATGCTACAGGAAACAGTGAATGCGCTTCAGTCCCCTAGAGAGGTTGATAGCATAGTTTGTTAGGGAGTGTGGCATAGACATAAATAGAAAGACAAAAAGTGCCCAGACCTCCTCTCAGGGAGCTCACTCCTGAAAGGCTGCATGAGGGTGTCACACAGCATGCTCGGGAGCACAGGCTTCGGAGCCAGGAAGACCTGGGTGTGAATGTTCGCTCTGCTGCTCCCCACCACTTGGCCTTACCTCGTTTCCTCTGCTGTAAAATGGGGACAATCCTGCCCTTGCGGGTAATCAGGAGAATTAACAGAGATAGATACATAAAGTGCCCAGCAGAGAGGCATTCGGCAAATTGAAGTAGGTGTTACTATG